GAAGTGTGGAGTGTGAAGTTTGAAGTTTGGAGTGCGAAGAGTGCAGTGTGCAGTGTGAGATGTGGAGTGTCGAGGGAAGGACACGGTCGGGACAGGGTGTCTTTGAACTATAGGTCATTTATGTTTGGGAAACTTCCGCCGCCGGCTTGCCCGGGTCTATGTTAGTATATGGGGTATATTGATGGTAAATGTTACCATATATAGCATGCATGGATCCTATGGGTTTTTAAATCATTTCAAATCATTTCAACATCCGCAGCCTCTTTCGAGCAAAAGCTTGCGAGCCATCCAGCCTTCAAATCAAAACATGCGGGAAATGCCTATCGTAAAAATCCAGTGCTTGCTACTGCCAACATCAATTGCACCTGAAACGGCCTTGGTTTCCTAGGCCAATTTAGGAGGTTTCCTAAAAATAAGACTTCCCCCAAGGTTCATCTATTTTCAGAGGCATAAAAACATATAAAAACCATAAACCATCCATCCAAGTGGGCTACTTCCAGCCAGGGCATCCCTTGCCTCACGAGGTCGGTTAGACTTCACCACCGTCAGCGGCGCCGCCGGCGCCATAGCTGGCGCCACGGGCGCCACGCCCAACATCGCCATGGCCCAGGGTCGCCAAGGCGCAGCAAACGCAGCTGGGGCAACAAAGGTTCGCGGACCAATGGCTGGCTCGAAATGTACCCGGCCTGGTAAACATACAAAAAGCTATTGAAGCCACGGCCATTTATAGTAGATTTTCCCATTAATAGCATGGTGGATCTTTCCATAGTTACGTTAAATTACCAGAGGGTACAGGAACCCAGTGATATTTGCGCCCCAAAAAAAGTCCAAAATGGTCCATGATTATCATAAGATGTTGCCATTTTGGATTCCCCATTGAAATCAACAGCAAATCTGAGACCCTGGTCTTACCAGCCATCATCCTATGAAGAACGGGCTGGTGAAAAATGAAGTATCTTCCCCTACACAATGGATTGAGTGGGGTGCTCAACTCCCACTCTTAACCCAATTTGAAGGTGCTCTTCCGAATCATCTCGAATATGCCTGGTGAAATGGCATTGAAATAGTCAGGAACATCTAGGAACCAGTACAAATTGAAGGTGATCTAAGATACCTAAGGGGAATCCATCCAGGAATTCCTGGCAGCTATGGTCATCGGGAGGTTGAACGAGCTGAGACTGCAAAGCTGGTGGCGCAACTCCGGTATCGTGCCTTGGGTCCTTGAATCAAATCCAAGTTTCCCAATAAAAATCATGTGGGTAAAAACAATGTCATCAACCACCCATGACCGGGAATCGCTTTAAACATGGTGATGACTGGGGGATGGTTTAAAGTTTATCACATTTGTTTTACCCACATGATTTCCAAACATATCTCACAAAACTACCAACACGCCAGACTCCATGGAGGCGCAACCACTGATGGATTCCCAGTTCGCGATTTTTTGTCCAGCGGCAACGCCTGCGACGCAGACAACTGGCGCCATTGAGTCTTTAGACAGCCACCAGGCTGGGATTGAACGAAACAAATTCTAACTACCCTCTGCTTCTTTAACATTGCTATGGAAAATCGTTCATTTATAGATGATTTTTATGATGGTTTTACCTTTAAACAAAATTAAAAATGGAGATTTTCCATGATTTTCCATAGCTACATCAAATTACCAGGGGGTAATTGCTACGTGCACTGCAAATCCTTGGGGAAGAGCCAGCCCAGGCCAACTATTGGCCATGCCATCTCGGCTCCTCCTAGTGCCTACGTGGTTGGTGGTTGACCAATGCCCCAAATATGGCAAAGTCTGGGTGAATCGTCCTCCTTACCTTGAGAACGAAATAGGAAATCCCATTTTACGTGGGATTTCACGGGCGAGATACCCCTTCAGTCAGTTTCATTCCGTACCGCTCGTAGGTATCAGTAAAGCACAGCTTTAAAATACATATTGAACTCCTCGAAGCCGATCAAACCACCAACCGCTATACCCTCTGGTAATTTAACAGTTTGCTATTGAAAATTGCCATTTAGTTCGTTGATTTACCTTTTTTTTACATTGTGATTTTCAATAACTCTTTGATTTGTTCTGTGTTTACCAGAGATTTGTCATCTCACAACTGGATCTTCTTGGACATTGCCACGCAATTTTTGAAGGTTCGCGACTCCTCAGATCTCATGTGCCACAGCACCCGATCCGTGGGATCTTTGGAATGCCGAAAGTCGTCCGCCGTGTTGGCGTCCATGGTGTCCTTTCGAAATGGCCGGTAAACGTTAACAAAAAGCCATGGAAAGATCCACCATTTTCAATGGGTAAATCCACTATAAATGGGGGTTAACCTCTAGTAAACATACAGAAAGCTATTGAAAATGACCCATTTATAGTTGATTTACCTATTAAACATGGTGATTTTCCATAGCTATGTTAGTTTACCAGAGGGTAATGGATGTTTAAAACCACAACTATGGTAATAATTTAGGTTTTGACCCATCCCCATATACATGTAGGTAACTTAAATAAATAAATAAATAAATGAATAAATGAATAAATATATATATATATATATGGATTGCAAAAGGCATTGGCTTAAGGACCCCACGTTCCTTCTGCCCTCTCAGCCTTAGCGGGACTTTCTCTGCCGGGTCCCGCGGGCTCATACGAGCCTTCCTCTACGGCATTCCCTTTGCGCTGCACGGTCTTGGGCTGGCCGGTTCTTGGACTTCTACGTCGGGGACCAGGCGGACCTCTACCTGCTCGGCTTGGGAACTACAGGTGGTGTATGTCATCCTTCTGGCACCTCTTCCTGGTCTTTGCCCTGGTGATCCTCCCTGCCATCGGCGACGGCAAGCACTACACAGAGGAGAGCATCGCGCAGAAGGCGCGCGCTGGCTCGGAGAGCCTGGTTTTTGCATCGGACTGGAAGGTCGCCACTCAATTCGAAGCAGTTGGGAGTGATCTTCAGAACACTGCAAAGACACCACTCAGGAGACAGGTCGTTCCTGCGCCGGATTGCAGACGCAATGGCCTCATCTCAGTCGACAGGGTGGCTCTGTGGCACGTGCCGCAAAATGAAGTCGCCGAATGCCTGGTATTGCGACCTATGTGGCAACTCGTGGGAAGACTGTGCGGTGCCCACGGCCAACCAGAGCAGTTCCACATGGGCGCAGTCACACAGGAAACAAAGAGAGAAGAGCCAGAAGCAAAGGCGACCGAGATCGCGCAAAAAGAACCACCAATGGGAGCAACAATCAACCTATGGCCAATCGAGTTCATGGGGAGGCGGACCATGGTCTACGGCGTATGTTACAGACAAAGGACAGGGCAAAGGCGGGCAACAGATGCAAATTGCCTCCCCGCCACCGCCACCTCCTCCTATGCTGGCGCCAAATCAAGCGCAATGCCACGCACCATGGATGCCACAGCAGATGCCTCACCAGATGCCCCACATGAACATGATGCCTTTCATGCCGCCTCAGCTGGATCAGCAAGTGATGCAAACTGTCCCACAGCAGTCTGCCATGATGCCTGCGGATCTGGAAGACTACAAAATGGAGATGAGCGCGCAGACCAAATTGAACAAGATCATGAAGGCGGCCAAGAAAGAGGATCATCTATCACCGGAATTCCAGTCATTGGTTGCAACAGAACGAAAGAAAGACGACAAAGAAAGCACCAGCAACCTCCTGGCCGCGGTGAAGGCACATGGAAAAGCAAAAGAAGCGCTCATGGAGGTGGAAAACTCGCGCATGCAGCTGTGGTCGCAATGGCGTGTATTTCTTCAAGCCTCTGTGACAAAGTGGAAGGAATACACTGCACAGTTTCAAGCATCCGAGACTGCCTTCCAACATCAAATGCAGAGTGCTACATTGAATCTGAGGAAAGCCCAAAAGAGAGTCGACCTTGCCAAAAAACGTGCAGATGCAGTTGGCAAGGACGACGAGCCACAGGAGATCTCCGACGACGACTTCGACGAGAACGAGCCCGACATGCAGGACGAAGCCGAAGTGCCCAGAGACGAGAATGCTCAACGCATCTCCGAGGGACTACATCAAGTCGTCACGAGCCTCTCAAGTCTCTCAGAGTCCGCGGAGAAATTGGAGCCGAAATCGAAGAGACCAAGAACCAAGGAAGAAGAAGAAGCTCCTCCTGGCTCACGGGCAATGCAGCCTTTTGGCATGGCCGATGCTTCATGACTGAAGTGTATGATCATCAATGGCCACAAGAACAATGTGACCCACGTGCTGTGCAAATGCACTGGGGGCACTCGATACTGAAAGAAGCGAACTTCACCTCGCCGTGGAGCGCAGTGGAAAGAGCTACTGAACTGGCGTGGGAATTGGGAGTACCATGTTCAGTGCGAATAGACTCTCTGACACTGCCATCTCAGAGAGGAAAGAAAAAGAATGGCCAGACAGTCACCTTTGAGGATTGCGACAACAGCTTTGATGGGAGTGTCGAGCTGAAGGAGTTCCTGCCCTATGTCAAGCACCTCGAGGAGGACCATTTGGCGCCAGTTCCAATGACCATGCCTAAAAGGCCTCTGTCAGATCAATCCACTGACACAGGCCGCAACTTAGCACCGAGAACATCATCAAGCAGCCAGAGTCACAGGCACTTCTTGGACAGAATATTACCTGACGACCTGCCTGCCTACATCCACCATCTCCAGATTTTTTGGAGGGATGAGATGCTCCGACTTCCGGATGATCATCAACATCGCTTGAGATCATGGTACATCCATCATATCCATCAACGCCAATGCAGAGTACCCAGAGACGTCACCCTCACACATGACCCTGCGTCATGGCACCAAAGACTCCTTGCAGTTTGGCGAGACCAAATTCACAATGATGAACCTCTGACTATTGCAGTTGTTTATCCTCGAGTCAGAGATCAAAACACAGACAGACCGACACATGCTGATGTGATGCTGATTCAAGGACGACAAGAAGGTGCTCATGATCTGCGAGGAGGAGTCACAACGGTCTACTTGCCTGAGAGTGACCAACACTACATTTGGGCGGCTTCGTATGCACGCCATCTTAGTGGAATTGGTATATTGGAGGGAGTCGATGCAGCAGACCTCCTTCAGACCCATGCTTGTGACATCTTTCATGGAGGTATTGCAATCCCTGCTACCACTACCCCAGTGCATTGGACGATGAATGGCAATTCTTTCGTCGCAGTTTTCCATGACCTTACAGGCTCAAGGGTGGCATCTGCGTCGTCAGCGTCTTCCACAGGACCAGTCCTTGCTCCAGTTGAAGCCACAACAGAGGAGAGCGAGCTCAAGCTGCACGAGGAAGGAGGCGAAGAAGAAAGCCCTAAAGCCTCCAGCTCAAGTCTTGATGAGGAAGAACTACAAGGTCTTCACGTTTTCCGCCTTGGACATCCAGGACATCATTGCTTTGTGCGTTGGAGATCGTACAACATGATCCTGTTTGACGTCCTACACTCCATTGGCATCCATCGAGACAGAGTTGTTGGTTTTCACTATGTGCAAGCACCTCTTGTTGACCAACATGAAGCTGAAGAGACGATCATTTTGCAGTTAGTTGGAGACATACCTGGCGGGTCGGCTGACAAATTGGTCCTTATCGACATCACTTACCACACTACTGGTCTGGCAGATGCACATCAAAGGATTGTCAGACGCATGCCACGGTTTTTGAGCAGACCATCCCTGATAGTACAGCTCCACTTGCAAGCTCCATGTGAAGAAACCCCTGGTTCTTGTACTTTCTATTTCAACAACGAGGAGTGGAACGAGGATGATCTCTTCCCACGTGAACTGCAACATGGCACATACCTCAAGATCGAGGTCACTGCCGAGCCGCAGACGCAAGTGTGTCCCCCACAACATGCTCCAGACAAAGCAATGCAGAAGGGACCTGATACACCACACATCCATGGTCCTGACCACCATCATGAAGTGAGCTCTTTCATGCAGCGTCCACTGCAACATCAAGATCAGCGCCGGGGCCCAATGAGCCACAGCGCAACGTTCCCCAGCCTTGCAGGACGCCTTACAGTGGGTCATGGAGAAAGTCAACACCAAAGCAAGATTGTACAAGAACAAGCCCCAAATTGGATGTATCCAGCGAAAATGACATTTTTGGAGTGCGCAGCAGTCGAATTTGATGATGAAGGCCCGGTGTTATACTGGAAAACATGGTTTCTCCATCACCAACGATATACCCGGAGCTTTGAATCTCGCACCTTGCGCCTTGATGCTGCGCACAAATTCTGGTTCCAGGAGCTTTGTGACCTTTGGGCAGACGCCATGGATCCTCATCTACCTGCCAGAGTTGCTTTTGTTCATCCAAAGCCACCAATGTCTGACAACGACCAGCACGTGGGACATCTGATCTTGGTGCAGGGCCAAGGCAGGGAACTTCCTGTCCTTATGACTGCGCTGTTTGACCATCCACTACATCGTCGAGTGTGGCATCTCGCAGCATTGCAGCGGGAATATGTTGAACCAGAGAATGTCTTTGACGATCTGGGCATTGCCAGATGGTGCAACAGAATACACTGCCGTATTCACATTGGAGAAGTTCCATTTGGCCAACATGAACTTGTTCATTTACAAGAAGGAGACAGCCTAGTCATCACTATCCCGAGTGTGCAGCGGAGTTCTGGAACAGAAGGAATCTCTCTCATGCAAAGAGAATTGAAGATCAAGAGCAAACAGCCCATTCAACACATGCAGACGGGGCCTGCTCAAAACCCCTCTGTAGCCCAAGCATGTGGAGAATTCCAGCTGAATCCTGCAGCGGCACCTTTTGATCCCAGTCGACCTGGCTTGCGGGCACTTTCAGAGTTCGAGGCCGACCTCTGGGTTCAATGGGACCAAGAAGCCTTCGCATGGGACGACGAGGAAAGATCATGTACCATTCTCACATGGTTCATTGACCACACATGGCACTGGCCGCACTGTGACCAACCACGTCGACTACAGCTTTACGAAGACCATCGACAATGGGAAGAGCTGATTCTGAGGAGATGGCAAGATGTTCGAGATCCCAGCTCACCATTTGAGCTTTATGTAGTTGATCCGAGACCACCAGCACTCAACAATGACATTGCTGCGCACGTCCTCATCATACAAAAGCCCTTTGACGCATGGATCACAAATCTTGCCACCATTATTGATTCGACACAAGGTCAACATCAGCCATTTGGTCAGATTGCCATCACTACACATGAGCACGTTCGAGTTGAGGCCATTCTGACAGCCACATCGCTTGAACGAGTCTGTCTCTACCAATCTGCAGTGCTAAATTGCCAGGTTTGGTTTCAAGGAGTACAGCTCCCACCAGGCGTTCTCTTCCCTGGACGAAGTGGCACTGGCATCGAAATTTATCTCTGGCCGAAATCACCGACAGCTCCTCAAGCTGAAGGACACGGCTTCCTACAGATTCCAAGCAGAAGACGCAGAGAGGAAGAGCGCCTAACAGGCAACGCGGTGGCTCAAGCCTGCCGGCCTTCCCCTGTTACACTTCAGCTTTCCACTATCATCGAAGAAGAGGACTCACCATTTGCACAAGAACACACATGGGGAGTCAAGCTACAAGCAGGACACCCAGACATCATTGTGCCAGAGTACCTTGAAGTACCATTTGACGCAGGTCAGCCAGAAGTAGAGCGTGAACTCATTACTTGGGGCATACATTGCACAGCAATTCAATTCAAGCCACATGACAGATTTCTATGCCTACCCATTGAGTTCCGCTACGATGAGGAGGTCTTTGTGTACATGTTCTGCAATGAGGATGCCACAGACACACAAGGATGCATTCTTCACACTCAGCGTACTAGCCTCGACCACATCGGAATGATGAGTCTATTAGATACGCTTGGCTACCCCAGAGCAGTGATTCTTGGAGATGAACTACTCGAGTGTGGACTACATCGGGTCAGCTTTTGCAACAACATGCCCCTTCAAGCCACTATGGAGCGACCTGTCAAAGAGCGCACACCTTGGCCGCAGCGTGATATTCACCACTGGACACCACAACCCCTCTTCCCAGTGAGTATGCCAAGTACCCGCCAAAGCCAGCACACGGTTCAGACAGGTTTCAATTCCCAGGACCTCAAAGAACTACTGGCAGCATCGGACACGTTCCTGCACACGGAGTTCACCGGTCTAGATCTGCCGGAGTTCGTCAAGGACGCAGTGTGCAAACCCCGCCAGCATCAAGAATATGATCGGTGGCTGATATATACTGATGGCTCGTCACAAACGTCCATGAGGCGCATTGCCCCACAACAAGCTGATGAAAAAGGCATGCCAGACACATGGGCGATGTTGGTCCTGGGCGAAAAGTTTACAGATGATGGCAGCTCCATCATTGAGCCCATAGGATGGTGTACCCATCCTGTGAGGTACGACGAAGATGGGACCTGCTATACAGGGGCGAAAAGGATTGGAGCAGAAGTTGCAGAAAGAGATGCGCTCATCTGGGCTGGATTGTGGCGCATAACCCAGAACAGCAACATCCCCACTGTCTATTGTTGTGACTCATTGACCAGCGGGAAACAAGCCTTCGGGCTTATTGGCACAGGCTCCACTGACCTCTCTTTTCGTCTCCTCAGAGGACTCTACCAAGGTCTGGAACATGGACTCCCATCAGGACACCTCCGACTACACCATGTGAAGTCGCACGCAGGAGATCCGTATAACGAGTTTGTTGATCTGGTAGCGAAACGAGAAGCCCAACAAAGCTTCCACCACAGGAGACCGAAGCTGAACATGCAAAAATGGAACAAAATCATACCACACTTGTGGTTGACCTTTGCCCAACCGTGTGGCCTACCTGAATGGTGCGATGGAGAGTTGGAGACGGTTCGCCCGGACCTTCGTCCTCCAGAACCACACCTTCCAGAAGAAGCTCCAGCAGTTGGACACCTTCAACACTTCAAATGTTCTTTGAGTATGGCCTCCGCCAATGTCATGTCCCTCTCCAGAAAGCCAGATGGCTGTGGCGGCAAATTACATTTTTTGTACGCCCAAATGAAACAATTCGGGATCAATGTTATGGGAGTACAGGAGGGCAGGGCAGACGAATGTGCCACAACGTCCTGTGAAGTTTTGAGAATCACTGGAGGACACCATCAGCGCAATGGAGGAGTCGAGCTTTGGATCAACCTGAAACAACCATTTGCTCACAATGAAGAAGGTGAAGCCATT